AAAAGTTTTTTCTCAAACATTAGTCATGAAAAGCATTGAAAAGAGAGAGAGAGAGAGAGAGAGACATATAAGTAAAGTATTCAAAAACAAGTTATTTGTTATTTTGATTCTGAATACCAAACCGTATCTGAAGACAGAAACCAAAAAAATACTCAAAACTAATGGTTAGTATAACTTGTATTAAGTTTTGCAGAGAATAACTTCCATGCGATCTTCACTTCACACGTTTATTAATGCATTAAATTGTTTGCGAACTTTAAAACACTGGCAAAAAATTTAAATTAAATAACATTTCAAATAACATGTTGTATTAAAATGTTATTTCCAAACAGATATTTAGGAAATAATGGATAAGAGAGACAGACATAGAGAGACGGACAGGTATTTGATGGGAAAAAATCAAGTTTTGTAATAAAGAGGTAGAACTTTATTATTATTACATTTGCTGTTTAAAAACATAATGAAGTAATTGAATGGTACAAGTGTTTACTACAAACAGAAAACATTAGTTATTTATTTTTATTTCAATTTATATTATAATAATAATAAATTACTCAATGATTAGTGAAATTATTCTTTTATATGTGTTTTCATAACATTATATAATATAATTATTCTTATCGATAATAGTTGTATATAAAAAATGATATGATATTACTGTATATCAGTAGTCAATAAAAACTTACATTTAATTTAAATTCAAGTGTTTGTCTAAAGAAAACACTTGAATATAATAATAATAATAGTATTAATATTAATAATAATAATTATAATTTTCTATACATTTGAATCAACAAAAAACATGATCATTTTCATTATTAAATACAATTATAATGACTCGCATTTGTGTTTTTTCTGCTCAACAAATATATCTAAACATTTTTCAACAACAAAAATGAAAACAAAGAAACTTCTCATTCCTTTATCAACGCAAACATCACATTAAATATAATTTTTAAAAATTAATTAATTAATTAATTTTCATTATATAAAAAACAAACACTTCTTTCTCTGTGTGTATACGACGGGTGTATTTGGAGTATAACTTAATTAAGTATTATTTTTGTTTAATACTTCAAACTATAGGTGCGATTCTCTTAATATACAAAGTATTTATATATAAATTATATATAAATATCGATATTTAGAGCCCTATTTACTGTCAGCGAAGGAAAACAGTTTATTTTTTAAATGCATTTTTTCGTGAAAAAATTTTGAAAGACTTATTTCTCAATAGTTATTATTAAGATTATTATTATTAGTATTAAATATAAGCACAAAAATTGCTCCGAAATAAGAAAATTTTTCTCATTTATATCGTCAGATAATCTAATCAAAAAACTTATCAAAAAATTAAGCAAAAATTATTTCTCCAAATATATAATTATAGCCTAAAAAAGAGCCGTAAATTTAAACGCTAAAGAAAACTAAGAAAACGGTTTAGTTTTGTCTTTAACTGCAAAAAATCCTAAAAATTTTTTAATTAAAAATAAAGGCTACCATTCGCTGCCCCGCTATAAAACACGGCTAAACTGATTGCTTGAAACCATAGTTATCGACACCGATTATGGTCTGGTGATGATTGTTACGGCCATTGGGACCGACCATTATGTCGACCCCTTTGCGGGACTTACAGAACTCTCTTTCGAGGGAACGGGAGATATTTCGGCGCTCACTCTCGTCGGCAAATATGGTATACAAATTACTCCTCTGTTTGGGCTTATCTCGGGTTCGGCCCCAACTGCCCACATGTCTGATGTGGGACTGATGTATGGGTGCGTCCACTCTTATGCTGCCGACCGACGAGTGGGCAAACTTGTTGTTGAGGTGCGCGCCGGTAGTGGTGGTGGCGGCCATTGCCCGCCGATGGGACGGTATGTAACGCGCGTACAGCGGACTGTCTGTCGGCGGCAGCCGTTGCTGTGACTCCAGACAGTCGTACAGAATCTCTTCGTAGATGTGCTGTTCGGGTACTGTTCGGTACGATATGGAGCTGATATCGCTCAGGTCACTGGTGTCGCCCACAGACGACAACTCCTCCATCAGCAGATCGATGGAATCGGTCTCCGATTGTGTCGACAGTATTGACGTCTGGAGACGAGTGGACGCCGACAGAGACGCCGAGCGTTTATAGATGTCTGCCTTATGGCCGCCGGTGTGGTGTTGAGGCACCTGCAGGTCGTCCAGTATCTCAAGCATGCATTTTGCCATTTCTGTGAAATGGGTTTTCTTTGATTTGCGATTAGATTTGGAGCCATAAGAGGCGCCGGTCGTCAGTGTCGAGCACTGGCCGCTCGTGCCGTATATACTATGGTATGGACTGGTTTTGGGCCGAGCGGTGGTCGTGGAGCTGAGTGTGGCGGCGATCCGCAGCTCAGATGTGGTGATCAGATCGACGTCCAGCTCGTGGGCGGCCGCCGACACATGAGACGAGAATCCGGTTTTCAACGTTGAATAGTCTAATGAATGCAAAACAGCAACAAAATTAAATCCAATTATTAATAAATATAAACAAAATATAAATCAAATACTGTATACAAATTTCCTTATTATAGATTGGAGTTAAATATATAATAAAATCAATAATAAAAAAAATACATTTAATATTCAAATAAATTGTGGCGAAAATAACCACAACAAGAGTCAATACATTAACAAACAAAAAAGTTTCATTAACTGTTATAAAGACGGTAGTAATTAATAGCAGTGTTAGTGTAAACTAAATGTGAATTCAGCATTTTCTTTATTATTATTTTAGTATTTTTATTATTTTCAATGCGATTCTGTATATAAACTACTGTTTTCTGTAATAGTTTTTAAATGGATTTCTATATTATTATAGACACGAATCGGATGCACTGTTGGATGCTTTTGCACAGAAAAAAACAAATTATTTCATTAAAAACATTAAAGTTGTGTTTAATAAAGCATTGAATCATTCAATGAATCAAACATTACTTGTATCTAAAAATATGTTTTTCAGTGCAAAAGCATCCAAAAACGCATCCGATTCGTGTCCTTATATATTATATATAATAAAATCAATAATAAAAAAAATACATTTAATATTCAAATAAATTGTGGCGAAAATAACCACAACAAGAGTCAATACATTAACAAACAAAAAAGTTTCATTAACTGTTATAAAGACGGTAGTAATTAATAGCAGTGTTAGTGTAAACTAAATGTGAATTCAGCATTTTCTTTATTATTATTTTAGTATTTTTATTATTTTCAATGCGATTCTGTATATAAACTACTGTTTTCTGTAATAGTTTTTAAATGGATTTCTATATTATTATAGACACGAATCGGATGCACTGTTGGATGCTTTTGCACAGAAAAAAACAAATTATTTCATTAAAAACATTAAAGTTGTGTTTAATAAAGCATTGAATCATTCAATGAATCAAACATTACTTGTATCTAAAAATATGTTTTTCAGTGCAAAAGCATCCAAAAACGCATCCGATTCGTGTCCTTATATATTATATATACGAGAATTCGCATAACCATTACTGTTGGGCTAATCTAATGGTTTATTTATGTTAATTAATTAAATTGTTAGGCATGTTGTGGGGAAGTTGTGTTGAAGTTTTGTTTTGAACATATAGTACTCAATATTTTGTATACTTTACAACATTATATATACACTGGGACTGCAGTTAATGTACTTTTTATATAATGAACGAGTGGTTAAAGTATACGAGATATGCAAAAAACAACACAAAAGAGAGAACTCTATAACGAATAGAAAATAATAATATTTTAATTTAATTAAATTCATTGTAAATCATTTTTAAAATTTTAATTATAATTTGATTTATTGAACTCAAAAATAGCTCAAAAAGCGCTGAAAAATGATTTTCATTAAAAAAAATATACGAAACATGAAAAGAGTCTCTAAAGAAAAATAAGAAAAAGTCTTAGCATTTCTCTAATGCCATGTAATGGTATAGTGGGCTAACACACCAGCAGACCATTGGCAGAACCGGTGTTTTTTTATGAGCACTTGATCTCCTCAACGCTCAGACGCCTAAAGATAATTATGTTTTAGGAGTAAAATACTCACTAAAATTATAGATAAAAACTATTTTTCTTTCTCTTTTAACTGATAATACATTAGAAGAAATTTCTTGTATTTTATTATCAAATTAAAAATAGTCGCTCGAAATATGAGATCAATATATTAGCAAAAATATTGGATATTTTCCTTTAATAAATTGCTTAATAATAATTTGTTGTGATTTAATATTGGAGTCAAACATATATATATATGTATAGAGAGAGAGAGAGAGAGAGAGAGAGAGAGAGAGACCCAAGAATATGATTACTATGTAATTCACGCCACAATCTCTGTGTATTACATTCCTATACATATTGACACAACTTATAAATACTGAAGAGAAAGATATACGAAACATGGTTTTTATATTTTGCATAGATTTGAAATTGTTATAACTTTTTTATTTGTAAACACAGACTATTGTTTTATATATCAAACTAAACAGTGTTTATCTGACTTTAAAATACATATCATTACAACATTAAAAATATATAAATTAAATGTTAATCAATTAATAATTAGTCGTGTATTATATTTAGTGCTTATAAAACATAAAAATCGTCCGATGTTTCGGTTTAACCCCGAAAACAATTACCATTAAGAGTGCGCACCGGAGCTAACATTCAATATGTTGTAGCAATCATTGGTTGGGTATAGCATTGACTGGAAAGTATTTTTATATAGTCGTCCCGTTCCGACGGCTTTAATTAATTTACAGACATGTTTTTGCCATAACATTGATATGTATTTTAAAGTCAGATAAACACTGTTTAGTTTGATATATAAAACAATAGTCTGTGTTTACAAATAAAAAAGTTATAACAATTTCAAATCTATGCAAAATATAAAAACCATGTTTTGTACATATAATTATTGCCCAATTTATCACAAATGAATAAATAAATTAAAAAATTGCCGTAAATTATGTAGTGTTTAGCGAATAAATTATATTCATAGCACCGGTACTGACAATAATTCAATGTTAGATTAGAGCACACAAGCGATAAATTCTCGCCACTATTTAGGCTTCAAAAAATACAAGTACTGTATATATCATGTGAATTGCGTATAGAAAACACAAACACAGCATTCACTGGAAAATGTATTGGCTTTTTGTGTACGTTGTGTTCATTCCTACCGGTGCTGTTCAGCTCATGTCATTAATCTGGGCTTTTTTGGATAGCGTTTGCTTTTTTATTTCTATTGCCTCTCTTATCAATTTTAAAATGCTTTTTAAACCTCTGTTTTGATAGATATTCACCGAAATGTATAAATATATGCCTAAAAGAAATATATACTTTTGAGAGATGGAGAGAGAGAGAGAGAGAGAGAGAGAGAGAGAGAGCTTATGGCACACATATCTATTATATACACATTCAAACACAACACTCACATCTCGGGCCTCTCGTCTAACTATCACTTGTGTACGAGAGGGGAGAGAGAGAGAGAGAGAGAGAGAGAGAATCAAAACTATGAAGAATATTGTAATACCGAATACATTTAAAAATTGAAATAAAAGGCAAACCTATTTTCTAAGAAAAAACTTATATATTTCCCAAAACTAGTCATCAGGTAATGGAATATTAAAAGAGCATTAAAAACAAGCATTTGTTTTAGTGACTAAAAATGGTGAGCATTTTAAGTGTATTTGTGGCCAAAAATATACGTTAATTTGTTTTTTATTATGAGAGACACAGAAATGCCATTCAATAAATCCAATGACTGTCTGTGGGGACAGACATTGATCACCAGTAAAGTGGCTCTCGTCTCGAAATTATAAGATAATTTTGGGGCCAAATATACCATAACCTACTGATAACACACACGTGTGTCCCATAACTTTGGAAATGTGTTTTTTCTAAGAAAATCTTTCTTCGATACAAAAAAAATAGTCTAATATATATTTCGGTGAATTATTCTCAATCAAAAACAGACCTCTCTCTCTCTCTCTCTCTCTCTCTCTCTCTCTCTCCCCTCTCGTACACAAGTGATAGTTAGACGAGAGGCCCGAGATGTGAGTGTTGTGTTTGAATGTGTATATAATAGATATGTGTGCCATAAGCGAGAGAATGGATGAGAGAATATTGTTTTTTCTTTCTCTCTGTCTTTCATTTCTTTTGTAGACCTGTTTTCTCCGCAAAATCTATTTAATGTGTTTTGACTCCTCTTCGGGTCTGCGATTGCCTTCTCTGGCTTTCTCACAGACATTGAGTTGTTTTTTAAATGTAATTTCATTTTGTGTGTCTCTTATAAAAAACCTAACGCCAAATGAATGTCAATCCAAACACTGATTTTGGTTTTTGATGAACACATTCACTGCTGACGAGAGAGTCAATGGTTTTAAATTATATATAATCTCCTAATCTTTCATCTATTTATTTCACTTTTATATATATTTTTATTTGTTTGCTTTAAAGTCGAGTTTTTTGAGAGCAATTTTGCCAGAGATCTTGTCTTTTGATTAATTCGAGAGTAAGGTTTCGCTAAGAATTTTTCAATTAATATCTAGACTTTTATTTTTTCAAAAATAAAATCAAATCTTATTTTATTATTAATTTGATAACAAATAGGAAACAGAATTATGAGAAAAGGGGTCTTCGGTTTGATTGCTATGCGTATAATTTGAGCCAAAACTTCATACTTAAGGCTTATAATCTTTATGTCTATTATTCTGGTAATTGCTTTCGACACCAAAATTGCATTTAACAGAGACTTTAATGTTTTTATGTATTTCGATGTTGACTATAATTTTAGGAGAAATATTTCCAAATGACTTTTATTATCTCTTAAGTGAGGTATAATATTATTATTTTTGTCGCAGTATTTCACTCATGAAAATATTTTCAAATCTCTTATTCAAGACATGAGTCGCGTTCAACAGGAGAGAGAGAGAGAGAGAGAGAGAGAGAGAGAGAGAAAAACCTAACGCCAAATGAATGTCAATCCAAACACTGATTTTGGTTTTTGATGAACACATTCACTGCTGACGAGAGAGAGAGAGAGAGAGAGAGAGAGAGAGAGAGAGAGGACTTCTGTAAGACTATAACATATAATTTAAATGTTGGTCTCATTTGATTTCTCAGACATACCTTTACTAGTATTTATCGTTTTCTTGGAATTGGCGGCACTGGATGTTGTGGTGCATAGTTTGCCCCCAACAACAACACCACCGCCACTGTAACCATAGCCGGAGCTGCCATTAGCGGCGGTTAGTGTGCGATACTTCTCCTCAATCATAGCCACGTATGCAGACGAGGGACACATTAACTCATCCGCCAAATGATGACCACTACCTGTACTATCCATACGTTTGCTGGAAGTAGTGGTAGTAGTGGTGGACGACTGTTGGGGCTGTTGTTGTGGGGCGTAATAATAAGCACCGGTGCGTCCGTACAATAGCTCGTCGATCTCGCCCTCAAGCGAACAATTATTGGCAAACTCTCCGGCCTTTATGGCGGTCCTCAGTGTCTCGCAGAGCGGGTCCTTCAGTATTGACTTATTCGACACATAATTACCGCTAATTTGTTGCTTTCTATTCAGTTGTGTGCAGTTTGTACTGAACTTCACTGAACTATTGAAACGCACGCTCTTGTTATGCGTTGAGCCGTTTGGACACGAGTTGGCCATCGACTCCATCGTCGACTGCCGGTCCGAGAGATCCGGTTCGCCGGTCGTCGTGGACCTGATAGTAAGCGGCGAAGAGGCCAATCTCTGGCCACACTTATCCGTTTCATCTCTGAGTCGCCGGCAATTGGCGGACGAGTTGTTGTTTGCATAGGACTTGATTACAGTGGAGGCCGGACTGGAAGAGCGACTCGAGACGGAGACACCGCCGGCGACCGTAATGGGAGAGCCGTCGCGCGAATTCACCGGCGATGAGATCTTTTCGCAGCGTTTCAACGCCTTTAGCAACGATTTTCTGAGTTTCAGCAAATGATCCAATTGTGTGTCGTTTGAAAACGCTTTCAATCGGTTGGCAATCTTCTCGCCAAACATTCCTCCACTTGTCTTGCGTTGAGTATTAGTCGCGTGATTAGCCGAAGAAGAATGGTTTGACGTTTGATACGATTCCGCACTACAAGTACTGCTGGCGTCGTCTGAGCTCTGCTTCTGGTGTTTCTGTTGTTGGCTTTGATTATCAATCAAACACTTTATGTATTTGTTGTTAACGTTTGTATTATTATTGCTGTAATTCTTATCCAACGATGTCTTTGAATTGGAGTTATTATTTGAGGTCTCTTTAAACGCATTCTTCTTCGTATTATTAGTGGACTCAATGCCCGACATTTGATGAGTGATGGCCTCATTGACGGCGTCGGGGATCGGATGAATGGCAGCGGTTGTGGTCGTCTTCAGCGGTTCGGCGCAATCAATGGCTGTGCCAAAGGAGGACAGCGACGAGCCATCGATAATCTCGGGTGTATTGGATCCCAAGTAATCAGACTTATAGCCGGACTCGAGTGAATTGGTTCCCGTATAGCCGGAGATGGACTCGGCGTCGGAACTGCTGTAGTAATAGTTACAGGACTTGCGATTCAAAGGACGCGAACCGCCGTTTAGTATCCGTCGGTGTCTTTCGTTTCGTTGGTAACACTTCTTATTGATGTCACACTCGTCTGAACTGTCGCTACAAGACGTGAGCGAATTGATTGTGTCCAGCAATGGATTCACGATATGATTATCGCCGCTATTGTTAACGCAATGCCTATTTATATAACCATTAGTTTTGCTCAGTTTCTTGAGATACAGACTCTTCTGGTCTTTAATCTCTTTCAGTGTCTTATCTCTGACTGAATCCGCTTTGGATGTGACTAACAAATGATTATTACTTTTATTATTATTATTATTACCATTAATTATAATTAGATTACTATTAATAGTATTATTATTATTCTTATTATTATTACAATTCTGTTCACAATCGGAGACATTGAGTGAAGTGTTTGAACAAAAAGTATTCAAACTATTAATCGATTCGTTGATTGAATTGTTTGCACTGTTTTGGCGATTCATTTCAATTGAATTCAATTTATTATTAGTATTATTATTATTATTGATTGTATTATTGTTATTAATATTGGCTTTAATATCATTGGTATTCGTGTGACAAAAGTCACTGAAATTAGTGTCATTGGAATCGATGGACGAATGAAACGATTGATTGCTTTCGCAAATATTATTACTCGACTTCTGGTGCGTGGGATTGGCGTTGAATATAAGACTATCAACACTACTATTAACGCATCCATTATTACAATTACTATTTGTCAATGTATTGGACTTTGACATCATCTCCGCTCCCGTCACGGAGTGATTGTCCGCATACAACTGATCCAGACTTCGGCTGTCGGTAGTGTTATCGTTCATTTTGGACGAGTGGACGATATCTTCTAATGTATTATACATCTGAAACATCTGTTTCGTAAAGTCATCCCCTTTTGATGTCAATTCACTCTACGGTCAGAGAATATAAATCAGTCAATGAGAGACACAAAAGTTTTTGTTAGACAAAAAAGTTTATGTATATTTCCAGTGAACAAAAAAACACACACAAAAACACACGTCTATTATCCGTAGGAATACATTAGCGAAACATTAATAATTAATTTCACTCAAAAAAGCAAACTTCAAACACAATATGTGAACACAATGTTCTTACTCTTCAAACACAAACTCCTAAACTAAACATACATTTGGTTTATAAGAATCGCAAACACAGTGAGAATAACTACTCAAAACTCAAACAAAACTTTTGGTTTTTGTTTTTTGAGCCCAAAGTTTTTTCAAATAACTAGTAATTTCGCACACAATATACATATATATGTATTTAAAGTCGGCGTTTAAAACAACACACAAATTATCCTCAAGTTTCTGCCAATACTATCGATGGAAAAAAAACCATTTACTTTTTCTCTCTGATCACAACTTTTTATTCGCACAACTGTTTTGTTGTTTTGGATCAAAACTTTATACAAATCTTAAAAACGATTTTCAATGACTGTATACTGTATTTGCGTATATTTCTCGATGAGATATCACTGTTTGTTGTAGTGATTTAAGTCTGAAGTGTTGTTGTGTTGGTTCAACACATCCCTCGAGAGAAATACATGCAATCGGTTTGAAGTCTATGTCGCGAATGAATTATTCGTAAGACTCGTTCGCATACAAGAGAGAGACCGTCAGTCCCTTCAACACTGAAAATACACGTTATTTGAGTGCATAGTTTGAAATGCGCTGAACGGAAAGGCCCTGGAATTTCCTTTTTGTCTCTCTCTCTCTCTCTCTCTCTCTCTCTCTCTCTCAAGAGAATGTGCGTCGATTCTTAGCTCTTTCCACAATTTCACTTGAATTAATGGTTTATAGACATGACATCTCTTATTGGACAACAATTCTCTCTCTCTCTCTCTCTCTCCTCACCGTTGAGTGTATGTGTGTGTGAATACAGTGTATACCTGTCCCTCACTCACTGCCCCATCATTGCTCTAATACACGTCTGACTTCTCTTCAGTGCCTCAAAGAATCTCTTCTCCTTTTTCTCCATTCAAAATCGCTTTTGAGTGCACCTATTATTGAGTGGCAGCGAAAGAGAGAGAGAGAGAGAGAGAGAGAGAGAGAGAGAGACCAACAAACCTGTGCAACAGACTCATCCACTGTACAGTGTACAGTATACCCCTATAGCCAGAATGCATACACTATACTATACGCCACACACATTACATCTCAGGTAACTTTAGGCTTAGGGACCAAAAACTTGTTCTCAATAAGCAGTGGTCGTCGTCTTTGAGACTTCTTTTATGTGTATTATATTCTTATTGATAGCACAGAAGGAGAGGGGAGGAGAAGGAGAGAGAAAAGTGAATGAGTGTTATCTGGCGTTTAAGTCTTTCAACTGTTGGACAATACCTCCACAAACTGCTCGACAGACCGTTTAATATAATAAAATATAATGATATTAAAGAATTTGCAATATTTTTTGTCCCGAAAAAAACCTCACCATAAGTGGTGATCGAGAAATGCCAGAAGTATTTGTTTGGCAAATATTTTATATTTCGTTTTGCTATTAATATATCGCGAATTTTATTCTTCATATTTTAATATTTCTCTCTTATTTTCTATTGGTTTTTCTTCGACAACATGTTTGCAGTGAAATACTCTCTCCTTTCGCATGAATAGAGAATAATATTTACTGAAATACTTATAAGAGTTAATATACTCTCTGTGTCTGTCCTTTTGAGAGTGCCTTAACCGAAATGACCGGCACCTGTACTCACACATGCCATAAGGTATTGGCGTTTTGTGGCACAAGTATATAAAAAGCCGAGAGTTAAATACCTTATTGGAGATAATATTGGGGGCAATATAATAGAGACAGAGTTGCCGTTTAAATGATATTAGTGTACATACACTACATGTATAGGTATTGTGTATACACTGTGTCTCGCAATATCTCGATCGACTCCAGGAGTCCACTGTTTTTCTTTCTTTCAAAAATACAAGAGATTATTATTATTTAATAATTTGTTTTCCATTCGCTTTTATAAATAATTTTCTACTTTTCCCAATTCTCAGCTCCAATGTTAAGCCAATGAACACAACACAACTCCTTAATAGTGTGTATGAAAGGGAATCGCGAAAAAAGTAAAATAAAAATACATTTTCGTTCAAACAATTCTCTCATATTCTTTCAAATTATTATTTGCTTAGAAATGAAAGAGTCAGACACGAGGAGAGAGAGAGAGCAAAGGAGAGAATGTATTGCATATATATCTGGTTCGGTCACTATTTTTACGATAGGTTTCTAACTCTTCATATATAGACAGACAGACATATAATAACAAAACAAAAAACATTTTAAACTTTTCTAAATTATCTCAAAAATAAAAAGATAAAATACTTTCGTCTCTATTTTCTAATGGATCGCTAATACCATGAATACAAACAGTAATGAGTTGTCTGTATATTATAAATATATCAGAGAATCGTATTTAAATTGATGGCAAAACATTCATATAATATTAATTGCAAGCATTAATAATGACATATAATTTCCATTAATAAAAAGAGAAACGTTTCTCATATTTTTCTCCATTATTTTCGGTTTTATATTATAATTGATTGAGTTTTGGGATGAAATTCATAACATATTATCTCCATTTATGTACTCATAATAACCACTGATAACGCAGTACTCACTGAATATGAGAATTCAGGAGAGAGAGAGAGAGAGAGAGAGAGAGAGAGAGAGAGAGAAATAACATCTATAATAAAGGATTAAAAATATTTTGACTCATTTCCTGGGCAGAGAAGGAGGAGGTAGTGGTGAGGCTTTGACTGCAATTATAATATCAAAACCAAATGTGTTGTAAAAATATTTTTCTAAACTTTTAAGAATGACTTCAAATGGAAAGCCGAATGCATTTATGCTGTAAATTGAATGATAGGATTGACTCAAAATGTAAAATTCATCGGAGAAATAGTCGATTGTTATATTACCTGCAAATTGGTTGCTATGCTCTGAGGGGACGAAAGGTTTGCGAGTTTAGGAAACACTCTTTATATGTAATTTGAATGGGAAAATGTGCACTGAATGGAGAGGGCATTAAACGACTTGATTTTTCTTTTGCAAACAAATCATAATTATATCTAATTGTCAATTGTCTGTACATATAGTGCCCGGGTTTGAGTGGCTCCGGGAGACGGAGACCGAGGCATTTGTTATTAATTAGCATTGAGTTCGAGGACAATGACAGAGACAGTCACTCAAAGTCTTGCCATTTGGAGAGAAAGAGAGAGAGAGAGAGAGAGAGATTGAAAGAATTCGTTGGAGCGAATGAAAAAAACGTTAAGACAAGACATAATATACAGTAAAACATAATAAGAGAGAGACTTAATTGAAAAAATAAAAATAAAATTTTGAAATTATAATAAATTATGCGAAAACTTTTTTGCAACTCATTTTATAAAGGATTGAAAAATTTTAAAACTAATATTAAAGCTTTTTTATGAACACAAAGTTAAAAAAGTAAAATAACAAAAAATTTGTTTGCAATTTACGAGACACTCATGAAATTAATTAAATACAGAGCAAAAAGCGAATCACAAATTGGTGTATATTTTTTGATTGCAATGTGTTTTCAAAAAACTTTGTTTCTCCCCTCAAACGAAATAATTTCTTATTATAAGTCTCTCTCTTATTATGTTTTACTGTATATTATGTCTTGTCTTAACGTTTTTTCTTTTCTTTCTCTTTCTTTGTTTCAAATAATAATTTGTTATTTTCTTTCGCTTCGCAAACGTCTCACAAATTAATGATTAATTTATAAGAAATACTTCTCTTTCTTCTTCTTTTTGAGCAAACGTTTGTCGAGAGAAATAAAAAATATGAAAAATTGAGTCGTTTTTCCGTAATTCGTAACAATTTTGTAACGATTTTTATAAATTAACTGAAATATAGAGAAAATGACTAAAACTGGTGATAAAATAATTCAAAATTCATATATAATTATACAAAAACAAACTGCTTATTGGTTTTATGCACACAATATCTCTGCCAATATTATTACAACTTTTTGGGCTCTGTTTGGAGATTATATTTTTGTATTAACTATTAAAACATTTTTATAATATTTATAATATAATCGATAAATTTAAATATGAAAATAAATATTTTGTGTAAAATATCTTTTTATTCTCATTCTTCACATATTTTCAATGCTTAATACACACGACTATTATTAATATGTAATTATATTTTTTAAAAGGAAACTCAAGAATTGGATGCCAAACGCGGATTTAAATTCTTATGAAACAAATCATTGATGAGAGAGAGAGAGAGAGAGAGAGAGAGAGATTGAAAGAATTCGTTGGAGCGAATGGAGAGTAAGGAAAATGATTGATTGAATTTATGATTTATTCATTGATTAAATCCCAATGAAAAGAAAAATATGTATTAAACCTTTAAAAACCATTATTATATTGATATCAAACTTTTCATATCCAGTAAAATACCAAATAATATAATATCAATAATAGAAATATTTATAATACTTTAGACACAGAATTTCGAGACAAATGATATAAAGAAACCAAAAAAAACAATTACTGAGACATTTAGTGTTCACAAACCAAATGACATTCAATAACTAATTGGTTGCAATCAATCAGTCATATCATTATCACAAATCACTTACCATTCCTTTACGCAGTTTATCCAGAAGTGAATCAAACTTAGGCTGCGATGGACTCAAAGTCGACGGATCAAAGGTGGCCGACAGAGTGCCACCAATGGACTCATCACCCGGTGATGGCGTCACCAATTGGTTGCTCAAAGACATCGCAGGTCTGCCAATCGGGCCGTCAGTCCGACAGTCACTCAATCGCTAAATATATATCTCTGGTCGACATTTACAAGACATAGACATACCGTTGCCATCCTATCATCCGATCGCTTATATAGTCCATTGATTTTCCATAAGTCAATGTCTATTCTTGCGGTAAAATAACAACTCTTTTATTCAATTGCAATAATATCTCGATTTAAAAGACAATTGAATGTCAATCGAGAGGACAATACGATTGCCATTGTATTCAATTGGGAAACCGATGCGAAGCAAAGCCATTAAGATATAAACAAACGCTGGGCTCCAGACTCCGAGTGCGCGCATCTCTTCGTCTGAATAAATCAATAAAATGG